CCTTGCGTCTCTGCTCGCCTCCCGGCCGAGAATCGGAACTGCGCATGCGCCCGCCCCAAGATCCTTTGCGGCCGTACGATCACTTCCTGATTCTCGGTGTGGGAGCGAGCAGCGATAACGAAGTAAGTTTAAAACTAGTTCAAGCGTTTTTTTTTTTTTTTTACACTTCTTGCCTATATCTACTGCTTGATAGCAGTAGATATAAGCAAAAAAAACGGAAGGGTTTAGAACCCCTTTAACTTGTCCCCGTCATCCCCCCCCACCTCCATACCTGATTGCTCTGATCACAGGAAGGACACCCTGTCTCCTGTAGGGCCTGACATGTACATATCATTCAGGGCCAGGCAGAAACAGGCACATCTGAAGGGATGCGGGGATGTCCTGTTTGATAAAACATCGGTGTCTGCTCCAGCCTTCACGGATGTTTTATCAAACAGGACATCCCCGGAATCCCTTTAGATGGGTTCTTCAGAACGCTGTTAAACGGCCGGGAGTACGTGCCCCCCTCTGCCCTCCCCTCGCTAGCCACTGCCAGGACACTCTGAGTGGCCATGATTTCCTAATATTCTTATGGAGATTTGGACTTAAAACCTTTGTTTTTGCCCCTATTTGCACAGAACGAATGTTTAGAGTTTTGCAGGATGAAAGTCTCTACAAATTAATTCTAAATACACCCCGTAAAGTTTTGAAAATACAACAGCATACATTATGTCTTTTGAGCTGTAGATGGCGCTGTAGTGCAATGCTAGTCTATGCTAGTCTGTATGTTCATGCTTATCTAGTTTCTCAGTATGAAGTTTCTGCTGCTGCGGTACTGAAATGAATTTTACACCATTTTGTTGGGGGCAGATAGAGCTTTCTTTTGGTGGTTTTTAAACACCACTGGGGTTTTTATTTTTTATTATAATTAGGAAAAATTACTGAAAATTTTGAAAAAAAACACGTTTTTTTTAAACATTATGTTAGGAAATTATGGAGACATCAGGGGAGAGATCTGCTCCATCAGCTTCTTTCCAGCTTCTGAAGCTGGAGAGTGACACAAGAATGCGGAAGTGATGTAATATACATCAGTTCCGCATTCTCACAGCGGAGAGGGGACCGGAGGGAGCTCGTGTACCGAGCTCCCTCTGATCCCATGTGACACAGCCGACATGCTGATCCCGGGCTCGCACCGGGCACAGCGGAGCCCGGGATCAGAGGGACAATGGCGGGAGGGGGGGGGCCGCACCGATTGTCGCTAAATACAAGCGATCCGCCGGCTTTACAGCCGGCAGATCGCATGTATATTAACGGGCATCGCTGCCCGTTTTTAAATTGCGGCCATTTCCCGCATTCAAGACAAGGGGGCGTGTCTGAGCGGACGTCTAAAGACGCCCGCTCAGATCTAGAGAGCTCCTGGCCGGCCGTTTTTTTTACTACGGCCGGCCCGGAGGCAGTTAATTTATTTTTTATAATGAGATTTTAATTTTTTTTTAAACTTTTTTTTACACTTAACTTTTTTGCTATCACATAGGAGGTTAACAAGAGCTGTAGAGCCGGCCGAACACTTGTATGTATCGGCCGGTACTGGCTGTTTACATTCCTAGCGGGAAACTGCTTGCAGAATAAAATCACGTACATATACGTCCACCCGCTGGGAAGAGGTTGCTGTTCGCCTGTGTATTTACAATGGGCGGACGGCAAGTGGTTAAAGAAAAGTATCGGTGATTGGTATCAGCAACCTGAGGGAAAGTACTTGTACTTGGTTTTGAAAAAATGATATTGGGACATTCCTACTTGAAGCCCAACTTTATTATTCTCTTTATTTTTAACAAGTCTCTGACATTTAAAAAATATTAACAAAGCAACTTTGGCATCAATTTTCACATCCTCTCTGGTGCTACCCCCTGCAGGCTCACCCGTTCTGCATTCCACTTTTGCAATGAATGAAGCTAAGCAGCATTCAACCCACTTCTTGTGAGTGCCCGGCATCATGCACCTGCCCCCTGGAGGGGAAAAGTGTCACTACGGCACCCTGCCCTCACAGTACAATGATACCAAGAATGGCGCTGATGTCATCACTCCTTCACCCCTCTCTGTCTCATTGAGAATTGTTGTTGTGAACAGTTTCCCGGAAGATAGGGACCTTAGATTGTAAGCTCCTTGAGGGCAGGGACAGATGTGAATGTGCAACTATTTAAATTGTAGGTGCTATATGAGTAAATTATATGCAGGCTGATTACATAATTCAAATGCAACATCTGTAAAAAAATAAATCAAAGCAACTGAACTTGCTGTATTTTTCTTGCAGACATTTCACTGGTGTGTGTGTGTGTGTGTATATGGAGGCTGGTAGAGAGGAGAGATTTTTTTGTTGTTGCTTTTTTTTAATCTTTTTACATTGTTACACTTTCTGAACTGAGAAATAGATGAAAAATACAGAAAGTCCAGTGGCCCTGATTTATTTTTTTTTACAGATATACCATGACCTGGATAAATGAGAACCTTCACAGTCATTCAAATGCATTATTTTGTGGGTCTGCCTGGAACGGATGGGATCAAGTCACATCTTTTATAAATGTATTTTTTTATAGGTGAGGGTCTGGTGGAGCAGATTCTGCTGGATGAAGACGGACACTCGCTGACTCGGAAGATGAAAGGTAATTTGATGAAAAATATCACCAACCTGGTGTTATATTTTCCCTGAAACAGTTTTCCTTCCTCTTCCTATCATGAAAAGAAGTGTACCAAAGCTTATGACAATGTTGTTATTATGTTCTGTGTCTTCTACCACTTCAGGACTATAGGACATTACTATAACTCCCCCCCCCCCCGCTCCCCATCGCACCCACCGCTGTGTTTTCCGGGCTCTCCCACTCCTCTGTGGGGTCCTAGACCACAGCAAATGCACTCAGGATGGGGAGATGTTGCAGATGAGGGAACATCCATTCCCTGGTCCATCTATTATCATCGAAGCAGGAAGCAGCGTGCTCCCAGAGTTTCCTAAATTAAAGGACACAAACCTGGATAAAATGATGGTTAAATAGACAATCAACCACAATCCTGTGCTTGATCGCCTGCAGTGGAGGACAGGGGAGACATCGGGGATCTAACTGAAAAAGTAAAGAATAATACAATAAATACAAATCAAAAAACAATTTTAAAGCAAGACCCCTGCCAACTACATGTGGATGCAAACAAATATATAGAGCATGCATGTGTATGTAAACAGTGATTGCACCACACATATCAATGTTATTGTTCAGAGGAATAATTCTAGGGCCATCACTCACTGTTAACTCTAAACTGATGAGCTGTAAGGTGTTTTATAGCGTCACCTATAGAACATTCTGAGTACGATCATTTTTCACTATTGCAGGGCCTCTGCTTTCAGAAAATGTGTAATTGTACATTAAAGTAATGTTTTATCTAGGAATGCACCGATAACGGTATTTTGGTACCGAGTACGAGTACCGATAATTTTTTTTTGGTACTCGCCGATACCAATTACCGAGTGTTGGAAGTCCCATTCAGGAAGCCAGGTGGTGTTAATGACTCGCCACCCGGCTTCCCGATTAACAAGAAAGACTGTCCCCTCTCACCTCAGCATGTCCAGCCTGTCACCCCCGGGGCCTCTCCAGCCAGGAGCGGCCTTCCTCCGGTACCCAGGCGGAGCCGTCTTGCTGGCCAATCATGGAAGCCAGGCGCCGTCTAATGACGCGGCGCCCTGCTTTCTGATTGGCCGGGAGGCCGGCTCCATGCTCCCTCGTCATGTGATTCTGTGATAACGCTGTCAAGTTCTATGATACTGCTGTCCTCTCAGACAGGAATATGACAGGTCTTGCTATACAGTAGCGCTCTTCACAGAGGCAAGGATACTTTAAGTTCATATTTAGAGCGTAGAGATAAGCTTAATGATTTTTAAGATCGTCCTTTAATAAAAGAAACGGTGCAGAAAATATATAGAAAAAAATATTAATAAAAAGAGACAAAATATAAAACAACAGTAAAATAAAAGGAAATAAAAGGTGGATACTCAACAGTCCTGGTTTTAGGAGTTCTGACAGAGTTCAGAGGTTCAATAAACAAAAGAGAGGTCTGAAGGGCTCTTCTTCAAGCAAGCTAGCACAGATGATGTCCAGATATTAAAAGGGAACTCTTCTGGGAGGTTAAGACTTCTTGATGTTACTCGAGTTACTTTCTTGATTTTTCAAAACAAGAGCCTATCTAGCTGCCTCGGCAGCATCTTTTGTCAGCCCTCTAGAGGGTGTCACATAGCCGGCCCCTAGGGCAGGGCTGGGGAGAGAGAGCAGGAGGGACGAGCCTTTATGATTTCCTTCTCTGCTCCTCCCAAATGGTTTAATTCATAACTTAAGATTAGGGATGCACCGGTATTTTGGTATCGAGTACCGATATTTTTTTTCCGGTACTCGCCTTAACCGAATACCAGAAGTCCCATTCAGGAAGCCATAGGGGTAGCCATAAAAAGGGTTAAGAGGGTGATTATGGAATCTCACTTGTTAATGAGTGCTAAAGACTATAAATATCTCAGGCCAGATTAGCAGATCTCTGTTTTTTGGAATTTGAAGATGTGACGTGGGGTTTGAGTCTAATAATATTAAATATAGCATTCTCTTGTTCCCAAGTTCAAAGCAAATACAGGCCTTCATTTAGTCATCTGCAAGGTCCCTCCACATTCCAAACACAAAGATCTCCTAATCTGGCCTGTGATCTTTATTGCCCCAGCACTACTTAACAAGTGTGAGTCCCCAAATCACCTCTAACCTATTTATGGTTGCCCCTAATTAAAGGCATGTAACCAAGCACCCATCTATTAACAGTTGACAAGTGGGGCGTGGCTTACCTATGACGGCGGCTGGACGTGCTTAACTGAGGCTCCCGCTCCATCCCCGAGTTGCTTGTGATCCGCGGACACTTCGCCTGCTTCCCACACTCTCCTCATGGGGGGAAAAAGAGGCCAAAAGTCGGGCCCCACCAAGAGACAGAGTGCGGGCTCGCTCAAACGCCTATGGGCGGCAGAATCCCCGCCAGACGACCACGGGGCCTTGCACGCGCCTCCAACCTTATCGCCGGCGCGTCCTGCAAAGGCCTCTACCCACCACCGACAACCCATGCGAGACGACACCTGGGCCCAGTCGGAAGCGGACGGCTCTGAAGTGTCGGTGCGCACTTTGGCACACTCTTTGCCGACCAAGAGGGAGCTGTCGGCCATGTTCCTCCGACTGGAAACCTCCATCAAGACGGATCTGACGGCGCTCCGGTCCGAACTATCGCACACGCTACACTGCGTGGAGGCCGTAGAGGACCGCCTGGACGAACACGCACAGGCCATCCGGGAGCTTCAGAACCAGGGTAAGAAATCCTGGCTCCACACCCGACAAGCACTGTACAAAATCGAGGATCAGGAGAACAGGAACCGCAGAAATAACCTTCGCCTGCAGGGCCTTCCTGAAGCCACAAGTGACGCGGACCTCGCAGACACCGTCAGGGGCATCCTTAACTCCATCCTGGGCCGGCCCCCTACCTCCACACTCCTGTTCGATCGACCGCACAGGGCCCTGAAACCCAGAGCACTGGCGGGGGAATTGCCCCTCAATGTCATAGTGCGGCTCCACTACTACGCGGATAAGGCCCTGATCTTCACACACCTGAAGTCATCTTCGGAAGTCGACTTTGATGGCACAAAGATCCAACTTTTCCCTGACCTCTCCCCGGAGACTCTTGCCCGTAGGCGGAAACTGAGGCCCCTGTTGAAGCTGCTGAAGGATGCCCATATCCCTTACCGCTAGGGATTCCCTGCTTGCCTCATCGCCACCAGGGAGGGAAAATCTGTGGTCCTGCGCTTCCCAGAGGAGCTAGCCGATTTCTGCACCAAGTTGGAGATTTCCACGCCAGATCTATATGAGTGGGCCGGCCAACCACCGGAATGGCACTTTACCCCATCACCGTATTGGCAACCAACAGCACCGAAACCTTAGAGCGGTTCCTGGCGCAGGCCTCCACCCCACTCCAACACAGGTGACTGATCTGACCGCTGCCCTGCTCCTGCTTTGCAGGCAATCACTCCCACTGCCGATCGTTATGAGATCTAATTAGGTGCCCTCTCCTGCCACCTGTCAGAGGCACCGAGGCAAAGTAGTTCACCATTGTTATATCACTTGTTTGATCTGAGTTGGATCGTTGAATTTTGGTTTGATTTCTCACTGTTGGTTATTATAAGTTCCGGCTCTGACTTTCAAATATATTTTATATGCACTCTTTGGGGGGGAGGCTTCAGGCGCACATGGGTGAGCCCCCCTTCGTTACCAAATGCGGACTCCCACTCCAGGTTCTGCCGTGCGTGGCCCTCCACCCCCATTAGGCCATGTCTTCCCTGAGCCCTTGGCCCAGCGAAAAGGCATCTCCTGCCGAATTTACGGCACTTAGAGATGGGCAGATTCGTCTGCCCATGTCCGGGTATGTCTCCTTGTGTTCACCCCCTACCTTTGTCTGTCTCCCTTTTGGGTCTCCCTTTTGTGTTTTGAACTTGCTCAGGTCCCTTGAGCTGCTCTGGGGGGACCCCTCCTGAAACCCACCAATGGCGACTCTAAAGCTAATCTCCTATAACGTGCGGGGCCTTAATTCCCCGCGTAAACGGCACCAGATCTTGTCGGAAATCAACAGATGCAAAGCAGACGTGGTCTTCCTCCAGGAGACGCACCTCTCATATATTTCCCCAACCTTGATTAAAGCCCATCATTACACGTTATGGTATTACAGCGCGTCACCCACAAAACGAGACCGCATGCCCAACTCGGATGGTCGATATCTCCTTTTGCAGGTTGCCATTCAGGGCATTGATTTATCGTTGGCTAACGTGTATTCTCCAAATGTACACCAGGTGGCCTTTTTGAGGCGGGTCCTTGGTAAAATTGAGGACTTTCGTAAAGGTAAACTTCTTCTGGCGGGGGACCTGAACCTATGCTTAGATCCCTTACTAGATTCCTCCTCAGGGGTCGCCCGGAATCCACCCACCCATCTTGCCTCTTTGCGCAGGGCCCTCCACAGATCTCAGCTGGTAGATGCATGGCGTCTCCTACACCCGGGAGTCCTTGCTACATGCATTTCTCCTCAGTACACTCTACCTATTCCAGGATTGATGTGATCATGTTAGATCACACCCTCCTGGAAAAATTGCAATCAACAGAGATCCTGCTGACCACGATTTGGGATCACGCGCCAGTTATGATCTCTCTGTCCCTGGACTCACTGGGTGTAAGGACGTACAACTGGAAACTCAATGATTCTTTATTGCACGACCAGCTTATTGCCGCAGACCTGTCACAGTCCATAGCTTCCTATTTTGCTACCAATGCCTCCCCCGAGGTATCGGCGGCATGCACGTGGGAAGCCCACAAGGCGGTCTTGCGTGGCAGACTGATGGCTGTGGGGGCCCGACGTAAACGGGAACGGATGGCAGCCATGACGGCATTACTCTTGGAGATCCAACGTTTAGAAACGTCTCACAAAAGCCTCCATGACCCACAGATCCTCCAGGAACTCCTGGCCAAACGTGGCGAAGTGCAACTCCTACTGGAGCAAAATACCACAAGGGCCTTTAATATAGTCTCACGTAAATATTATGAATTAGGGGGCAAACCCAGTTGATTCTTGGCACGTGCCTTGAGAACCAAACAATCCGTCACTTACATCTCCTAGATTAAAACGAAAAAGGGCTACATAGCACATATCACGTCGGCCATTGCGGAAGTTTTCCGCAATTATTACCAAGACCTCTACCAGGTAAATAAATTAGATGTCCCTCTAGCTAATGCATCCAGATTGGAGAAAATCAATTTGTATTTGCAGCAAGCCTCCCTACCCAGGGTACCTGAATCCTTCCTTTCTGCACTCAAAGCTGATATCACTGAACTCGAATTCAAGATCCGGCGGATCGCTTGTATGGTAACAGGCACCGCTGCCTGTTTTTAAATTTCGGCCGTTTCCCGCTCGCGCGCCCCCGGCGGCGCGCGTGAGGGGGCGTGTCTGAGCAGACGTCTAAAGACGCCCGCTCAGATCTAGAGAGCTCCGGGCCAGCCGTTTTTTTACTACGGCCTGCCCAGAAGTGGTTAAGAGCACCAGCCCGGGCCCGGATGGGTTTACCTTACTTTATTGTAAACGTTTCCAGGACATCTTAGCCCCCCACTTTTGCTCCTATGCTAACACTATCTCCAAGAATCCACCTATGCGCCCAGAGTCCCTAACATCACGGTTATAGCTAAACCTGGGAAAGACCCCTCGAGCTGCGCTAGTTATCGACCCATCTCCTTACTTAATGTGGATACTAAATTATATGCTAAGATATTAGCGAATAGACTATACCCGCTCCTTCTTTCGTAGATACGCCCGGACCAGGTGGGCTTTATTCCGGGCAGCGAAGCCCAGGATAACGCTCTTAAATCTATCAACCTGATGCATATTGCTAAGCAACAAAAAATCCCCCACTATGCTCCTTTCCACCGACGCAGAGAAGGCGTTCGACAGGGTGGCTTGGGATTTTCTCCTGGCAACCCTGTCCCGCCTGGGTCTGGGTGTCCGGATGATGGAGTAGATTTCGGCGCTCTATATTAATCCCACAGCGAAAATACGAATTAATGGATCCCTATCCCCCTCATTTACGTTTCACAATGGAACCAGGCAGGGCTGCCCCTTGTCTCCCCTACTGTTCGCCATCTCGTTAGAGCCCATTTTAGCTACTATTAGACGAAACCCTGACATTCAGGGTATCCCGACCATGGCGGGCAAATTCAAATTGGCAGCATATGTAGACGATATCCTGTTTTATGTTCGTAACCCGCGAGTGTCCCTTCCACAAATATTATCAACATTAGATCATTATGTTTAAACCAAATTAACAGCGCTAGTAGGTGAATCAAAAAAACATATAATCGTGTTTGTGAACTACAAATCATAAAAAAAACACATCAATGCAAGTGCCGTTAATCAATAAAAAACACAGCACTGTAATAGTTAATAAACATGTGTACGATTAGGAGGTGATGTTTAACAGACAGCCCCAAACGCTTTGTCTGATGGGACAACGTTACTGCGGCGTCTTTTGTATCTCGTTCTTTACCATCAGCCCTCAGTGTAAAGTCTTCCCACAGTCATGCAAAGAAAAATTCTTTCATTGGGTAATAGTTCCAAAAATAGTTTATTTAAAATTTCTTTTAAAAATTAAAAAATCACATTCGGCCGGTCCGAAAACAAACGTGTTTGGTATGGTAGACCCGCCCCTACATGTTTCGTCACCACCGACGTCCTCAGGGGAATTGCAGGTTTGTCTTTCCATACCAAATCACAGTTTATATAGAGCACATCAGAGTTAATACAACAATTGGCCACTAGATGTCTCACTAGCTCCCCACAGTGGGATAGTTTCACATCTCCTCAAGCTAGATACAAATTAGACACAGATTAGATACAAAGTGAAAGGTGAAGAGTTATTAGTTCTCTCTCACTTGTAAAGGTGAGCCATCTCTATAGGCCAGTATCTATATCAATAATCTCATATTCTTCATACATCCCAATACTATTGCATATTTTAATACATATTGATCTGACATAAAATTAGAAATTTAACAATAAAATGCCTAAAAGCACATATAACACTATTATAAGAAACGAATATATAAAAAACTAGTATATAAAAAATCAGGTGTCCCGTCGCTAATTATCATTTTAATTATTGACTTTAAAACCAATGTAAAATTATTTATTACTTAAAAAGCAGTTGAAATCGATATTTAACTGCTTTTTAAGTAATAAATAATTTTACATTTACAAATCACCTCCTAATCGTACACATGTTTATTAACTATTACAGTGCCATGTTTTTTATTGATTAACTTGCATTGATGTGGTTTTTTAATGATTTGTAGTTCACAAACACGATTATATGGTTTTTTTGATTCACCTACTAGCGCTGTTAATTTGGTTTAAACATCTTCAGACCCAGCCGTCTTTAATACAGCAGCTTGTATTTTACATCACAATATTTATTTATTTACATTGATGTGTTGACACGATACACTAAAAATTCATCACATTGACTTTGCAGTATTTAATATAAGTAATGTGTTAAGGAAACACTATTTTGGTTTAAATCACTGCCACCTGTGTGATATACAGCTAATTGAACTCCTAGCGCTGCTTATCTTGTTATATCATTAGATCATTATGGCTACCTACCAATTCACCTGATTCCAAAAGTGCTGCAAAAATGTTTGACAGAAAATACCGAGCTGATTCTAATTGCCCCCTACTGGCCAAAGAGTGCATGGTTCTCCCTCCTGCTGTCTGACAGTTTTTGTCCCATGGGCCCTTCCGGACAGGCAGGATCTTCTCACTCAGACCCCGCTTCTTTTTCCAGGAGTAAAGGCATTGAACCTGACCGCATGGTATCTGAAGAAGAGTTGCTGAGATCTAGAGGACTGTCCAGTAGAGTTATACAAACCTTACTTAATAGCCGTAAACCAGTGACTAGGGCTATTTATGGGAAAGTATGGAAGAAGTTTGGTTCATGGGCTACTGTAAAAAACCGTACTACGGACTTACCTTCTATACTTGAATTTCTCCAAGATGGAGCGGATATGGGTTTCGTGGTAAAGGTTCAAATATCGGCCCTTAGTGTATACCTCCAAAAATCACTAGCGGAAGAGCCACTTGTATCAAGATTCTTTAAAGCCCTGAAAAGGATTAGACCAATATCTACAAAATCCTGTCCCCAGTGGGATCTGTCTATTGTACTGCAGGGGCTATCGGGTTCGTCTTTCGAACCACTAGGGGAGAGTTCTATCAAACTGCTGACCCTGAAGACAGTTCTCTTGGTGGCGGTGACCTCGGCACGCAGGATCAGTGAGCTGCAGGCCCTGTCTATTTTGCAACCTTTTCTCAAAATCTTTGACGACCGGGCGGTACTGAAAAAACGATCCGGCTTTTTTACCGAAAATTGCCTCAGATTTCCACAGATCTCAAGATATCATTTTGCCGACCTTTTCAACTAACCCATCCAATGATCGGGAACAAGTTTTTCATTGTTTGGATGTAAGAAGGTGTTTACTAGCCTATCTACAGAGCACGGAATCCTTACGAAAATCCAACTGTTTGTGCTGTTTTCGGGAAAGAACAAAGGAAAGCAAGCGTCTAAATCATCTATAGCTATATGGATCAAGCAGGCTATAATTGAGGCTTACAGAGCAAAAGGAAGTTCTCCTCCAGACGGCCTCAATGCCCACTCTACTAGGTCATTGGCTACCACATGGGCAGAGAAAGCAGGAGCTACTCCAGAGCAAATATGTAAAGCGGCTACCTGGACGAGTTTTTCAACCTTCATCAAGCATTACCGTCTAGACCTGTTGTCATCCAAGGAACAGGCCTTTGGGAGAAAGGTGCTGCAGGCAGTGGTCCCTCCCTAATGTGGGTAAGTTCTTGGTTATCCTCTCATGGGCTTGACTGGAAGACAACTGGAAAACCGGAGTTAGAACTTACCGGTAACTCTATTTCCAGTGGTCTTCCAGGACAGCTCAGTTCCCGCCCGATATGCAATGCTAATGGTATGACTCATGTAACGTTGTTGTGGTGGAGTTATGTCGACTCTCTCATAAATGGTCCTCCGGTTCTCAAAATAACTGAAGAGGGATGGTATTAGGGGGTCTTTTAACTGGTTATGGTGACGTGTTTCCTGTTTGGAGGAGGAGTTACACACTCTCATGGGCTGTCCTGGAAGACCACTGGAAATAGAGTTACCGGTAAGTTCTCTAACTCTGGTTTTCTGCTGCTTTATCTTGAGTAATATTTCCATTACATTTCCAGAAATTCAGATGAAGCACAAACAACATCTGATGGAGAAGACTGAGACTCTAGTGGAACATAGACCCCCAGGAACTACCCTGGAACCACAAAGATCCCTCATCAATGAGCGTTATGTGAACCTGATTGTAGTCTCCACAGATCAGTTCAGGAAACGTCCCCAGAATGAGCTAATACAGACCGGGGTGAGACATGAGGAATGCTTGAAGGAAACACAATCTGGACTGGAACATATTTCTCCCAATAGGCTGTTCAGATGGAGCCACCAGTCACAATGTGCACCACATGCAGTAATGGTGAGCGGAGTGCCAGGAATAGGGAAGACCACACTGATACAGAAGTTTGTCTATGACTGGGTGACCGGAAAACACTATCAGAGATTTGTTTTTGCCTTCTCATTCAGATTCCGGGACCTTAATAGACTGGGAGAGGTCAGCTTGGAGGAGATGATTCTTCAACAATATCCGTATCTGAAGAGTCAGATTGAAAATATATTACAACATCCAGAGAGACTTCTTTTTCTTTTTGATGGCTTAGATGAAAGTGTTCACCGAATGGATTTCAGATTAATTGAATTGTGCACATATACACATCGTAGAACAAATTTTGGTGAGATTGTAATCAGTTTGGTGAGGCAGAGTCTTCTTAAGGGTTGCTCTGTACTGATAACCAGCCGCCCAACTAGACTGGCCTCAGTTGATACTGGTGTCTTCCAGAGAATAGTGGACATCATGGGATTTCTCCATGGAGACAGACTGATCTTCTTTAGAAATTTATTTGGAAATAAGGAATTGTCAGAAAAGGCTTTTCTTTATGTGCAGGAGAATGACACGCTGTACACTTTCTGTTATATCCCATCATACTGCTGGATCATCTGTACAGTGTTATCGATGTGCTTCAGAGCCCAACCAACAATCACTGATCAGATGATGGCATCATTGCCCAAAACAGTGACACAACTCTTTGTGACTTTTGTCTCCAACATTCTGGCCAATCACAACCAGAATAAAGATGGTGGTCACCCTGCCCGGGAACTGCTGACATCTATTGGGTGGATGGCAGAACATGGAGTCATGAATCACATGATTGTATTTGATGAGCGTCATCTGGACTCATTCAGTGTGAGAAATGATAAACATCTCTTTTCATGTTTCATGATGGAATCTGGTCAGCCTCCTGATGTGGATTACACCTTCTTACATCTCACTCTTCAGGAGTTTTTTGCTGCTTTAGTCCATTTCATGAACTATAATTCTGACAGATTACAGAAAACACTTGATGATGCTGAATCTTACAAAGATGGCCATGCTGAAATACTTCTCCGTTTCCTCTGCGGTCTCTCAGACTCTTCTACTAGATCCATGTTAAAGTCTCATGTGGGAGAATTGTCTACTCCGGCTGCCAGACATGTCATCACCTGGATCCAGAAGAAAATGGGAAAAGAACGAGGAGACAAGAGAGATCTTCTTAATGTCTTCTACTATCTCCATGAGAGCAGGAATAAGGCTCTGGTGTCACAATGTGTTGGATCAAACAAAGTTGACTTTTCTGATGTCCCCCTCAGCCCTCTGGACTGCTCTGTGCTGTCTTCTATGCTTCAGTCCTGCAGAGAAACAAAAGAAGTAAATCTAAGTTCATGTAATATTCAGAGTGAAGGATTGAGGAAACTTGTACCGGCTCTTCACAACATCAAGAGTTTGAGGTAAGGAATAACTATGAATAATCCCATTTCTGTGTTGAACTGGAATGATCAGCAATCTCCCAGAGAAATGACTAATTATTGTTGTTACTTGTCTTCTATTATATGAGAACTTTATATGTATTGATGTGATCACATTGGATGACTGCACAGAATGAACAGATGAGTAGAGGCAGCAGAATGCGATCTCTGGGATGCCTGTCAGACACATAGCAGTGATAGTATTGGTCCAGTGTCTGTGGGGTCTCTGACCTTACAGAGCTACAAGAGCCCAGCACTGCCTATATCTTCCCTTTTATGTGTGACCACCGGAGGAAATTCTCCTTCCATTTTATTGGTGAGGTCGCTGAATGATCAGATAAGAAGATGAGTGCATGGAAATGTTTGTTTTTATTATAAATACAGATATAACGTTAGAGATAACTGTGATAACATTCAGGTTCTTCAGTTGTTGCTGTCCCTGCAGGCTGCACAAATAAGGAAATGGGAAACTATACTTTGTATGTACAGATCGGTGAGTTTCCCTCAGTGTGACCTCCAGGCTTGTGCTGACATCCTGCTTTCATGCAGAAGAAGAATACACTATATTGCCAAAATTATTGGGACGCCTGCCTTTACACGCACATGGACTATAATGGCATCCCAGTCTTAGTCTGTAGGGTTCAGTATTGAGTTGGCCCACCTTTGCAGCTATTACAGCTTCAACTCTTCTGGGAAGGCGTCCACACGGTTTAGGAGTGTGTCTATGGGAATGTTGGACCATTTGTGGGGTCATGTACTGATGTTGGAGGAGAAGGTCGGGCTCGCAGTCTCCACTCTAATTCAACCCAAAGGTGTTAGATCGGGTTGAGGTCAGGACTCTGTGCAGGCCAGTCAAGTTCCTCCACCCCAAACGCCCTCATCCATATCTTTATGGACCTTGCTTTGTGCACTGGTGCGCAGTCATGTTGGAACAGAGATAAGAAAGATTAAATGTAAACAAATCGCCAGGACCAGACGGGTTACATCGGAGGGTACTAAAGGAACTTAGTCAAGTCATAACCAGACGCTTGTACAACATTTTTATGGATGGTATAATAATAGGTTGATTGGAGGAGAGCAAATGTAGTACCAATATTAAAAAAGGGGAATAGAAGTGAAACTACAGGCATGTCAGTCTAACATCAATAGTATGTAAAATATTTGAAGGCATGATATAGGACAAAGTGCAGGAATTTGCAAATATAAAATGGTATCATAAGTGGTAACCAACATGGTTTCATGAAGGACCGTTCTTGCCAGACCAATCTACTAACATTTTATGAAGAAGGAAGTACTAAATTAGACAAAGGAATACCCGTAGACATGGTTTATCTGGACTTTGCTAAAACATTCGACACAGTACCCCACAAATGCCTAATCCATAAACTAAGATCTATAGGTCTAGATGAAATTTTATATACATGGTTGGAAAATTGGCTGCAAGAATGGACCTAGATGGTAGTGATAAATGGGTCATTCACAAACTGGGCAAGAATGGGGAGTGGGGTGCCCCAGAGTTCAGTCCTGGGACCAATCCTGTTCATCTTATTCATCCATGGCATAGAGATTGGACTAAATAGCTCAATTTCGTTTTTTGCGGATGATACTAAACTCTGCAGAGCAGTAAATTCTGAACAAGAGATATTCGCACCACAACAGGACCTAAGCAAAATTGAGGCATGGGCTACAAGATGGCAAATGCGATTTAATGTTGAATAATTTAAGGTTATGCACATGGCAGTAAAGAACATGTGCGCAAACTACTACTTGGGGGGTGTTACTTTTGGGAAGTCACACATAGAAAAAGACCTGGGGGTCCTCATAGATCACAGATTTGGCAATAGTAAACAATGCCAAGCAGCAGCCAGCAAAGCGAACAAGATACTGGCATGTATTAAAAGAGGAATTGTAGCAAGGGATCAAGGAGTAATACTTCCACTTTATAAATCAGTGGTGCAGCCCCATCTTGAGTATGTGGTACAGTTCTGGTCACCGACTCTCAGGAGGCACGTCCTGGAACTGGAGAGAGTTCAGAGAAGGGCTACAAACTTAATTAAAGGGATAGAAGGCCTGAGTTATGAAGACCGCATTCAAAATCTTAACTTATTCACCTTATAAAAGAGGCAATGAAGAGGGGAACTTATTGCAGTCTTCAAAATCATCAATGGGGACAACAATATTAGGAACAAACTGTTTAATTCCAAAACTGTACTGAGAACCCGGGGACACAAGTGGTTAGAAGAGAGAAGGTTCAATCTTAGAATTCAAAGAGGGTATTTCACTGTGAGAGTGCTGACAGTTTGGAATTCATTGCCACAGGTGGTGGTATGTGCTGATAACATTGATAAATGTATGAAACTTCTGGATGAGTTTCTTCTTTCGCAGAATCTACAGAGATATGGGAAGGTAAATACACACACACACACACACACACACTCACATGCATACATAGGTTGAACTGGATGGACCTTGGTCTTTCTTCAACCGTACATACTATATTACATACAACATAGTATGTACAACATTAAAAGCAATCATCCTGTGATCACTATTACCCAATGTATCTCTAATCGCTATGCCTGCAACTAGGTCCACATTATTGGAAATTAATAAATCTAGTATAACATTCTTCCTAGTTGGGACATCAACCATCTGATCCATGAAATTGTCCCGCAACAGGTTTAGGAAATGGCCAGCCTTTATTGAACAAGCGGTTCAATTTGACCAATCAGTGTCCAGATAATTGAAGTCACCCGTTATAACAACATCGCCCCGCTTCCCAGCTATTTCTATTTGGTAATGTACGTGAGCCTCCTTTTCTTCCCCCATGTTTGGGGGTTTATAACACATACCCACAATTAGTTTACAACTAGCTTCAGTCTTATCTAGTTCTAGCCACAAGGACTCAACACCATCACAACTGTCTGTTGTGAGGTCATCTCGTATGTGCACAGTCGGATTGTTTTTCACATGCATGCATACCCCTCCCTCCTTCTACCAAACTTGTCCCTCCTGAGCAGGTTGTACCCTTGTACATTAGTTGCCCAGTCATGTGGGCTGTCTAGACAAGTTTCTGTTATTCCCACTATATCGAAGTCCTCTTCGTGTAGCATAAGTTCAAGCTCTTCTAATTTGTTTGCTAGACTTCTAGCATTTATGTGCATACATTTTAGTTTGCTGCTAGTGGTTTGAGTTTTATTATTTCTCATTCCTGAAGCCCAACTAATTTCTTTATCAGACCTCGATACGGTTGATATATTATTGATTAGATTGACTGGGTTGAGCCCCCTGTCTCCCCTTGTATCACAGCCCTCTATATTAATTGCTCCTGTAGTTACTTGCTCTTCATTTATTATTCCCAATTTTTTTCCCTCCCCCCAGGTTTAACGCTCTTCCAATCTTTTAACCATTTTCTCCCCCAAAAGTGCTGAACCTTCCCCATTTAGATGCAGCCCATATCTGCTATAGAGCCGGTAACCGACTGAGAAGTCAGCCCAGTTCTCCATGAACCCAAAGCACTCTTTCTGACACCAGTTCCACAGCCACTTGTTCAGTTCTGTCAACTTCCTCTGCCTAATAGACAAATTTAAAGTGCCAAGTAGGAACATCAACCGAAAAGTGCATGTGAAGGATTACTAGGGGCGCTGCCCCACTTCAGCCAGGGGAACTGTAACACTGTGAGAAAACAAAAGAGAAGGGTGCCCACCCTACTGTAGATTGTTTTTAATAATAAAAGGTAGCAAAACAGAGTAGAATCATACTCACAATGGTGGATTAAACAAGAGCATTCAACAAAAGCATGGAGGACATCAGTGAGAAGCTGCACAGTCACCCTGTGTACCAGCACAGAATGCCTGCGTTAACGCGTTTTCGGGGTCACGCCCCCTTCGTCAGAACATGACCTCAACCTCACTCGTGCAACAATATTTAGCAGTATAGGGCCAATAGGAAGCACTCAATGATAGGGGAAGCCACCTTTCAGGTCGGCGTCTTGGTTGCCTTGACGAGACCTCAGCGCTCCTCCTGATATCCGCTTCTAAAAGGGATGCCGTGCCCTCTGGCCAATCAAAGGGCTCGCAACGAACCAAGCCCCCAGTCAAACAAGGTACCCCCACTTGACCGGACGGCCAATCACCAGGGGATATGATCGATGTAAGTCAGCATAATCTGACTATGTGGAGAGAATTGATAGGGGGCAACTGTAGAATGTGCTCTGATTTGGGGGTGCCCTTAAATTACTGATGAACAACTGAATCTTAAATAAGTGTTGGGTTTATTTACAAATAGGGATATACATACATATTACCATTAAGGGAATTTGAAAGGGGAATTGGGGATAGGAATTAAGGGTAAGGATCCTACAGCTAGCTACACCATTCTCTCTCTCTCTTTCACACATGCCATGGGGTTTTTCTCCTGTTCTCAGAACACGCCTCTCCAGCAGGTCTCAGCGAATCACATTCTTGATTGGAGAGTTCAGAAAGACTTGTCTTGTCCAAAGGTCTTGCTGGTCAGCTAGGCTAGTGTCACACAGGAAGAAGGTTCCATCATATGCCCCTGCCCCCATCCCAGCATATATGCATTGCTGACACAGGTGTGGGCAGTAAATACCAGCAGGGGGTCGGGCTTGCCCCAGGACATGACCGTCCTGGCAGATCTTCATTCCTCAGTGTCCAGCCCCAAGAACCCTTTGATGGTCCTCATTTACATATCAGCCACCTGCTGATTCCATTCAAGATATCAAGGAACCCTCCATCAAAGATGTATCATAGATGTCAATGTTATCGATTCCAACAGCAACCAACAAACGGGGGTTTATAAAAGCATAGAAGACTCCGGGCCTGATTACAAAAACAATGCTGCAAGTGTGAGGATGAGGTCCAGGACATAAATATGCTATAAGAGACATAAAAGCGCAAACAATTCTTAAAACACTTTCAAAGCTTAAAAGACTGATTAGTCAACAACTATCCCATACGTGA